GACCCTTCCTGTCGGGTCATTCTGGGGGGGGTGTAGAAAATGACCCTTCCTGTTGGGGGATTGTCAGCACACCTGAGTTGGAGTCGTCCTTCAGTCTAATCTTTTATTTTTATTTGAGCGGCCCTCAAGGACTCAATGTCATTGTTTCCTAGCATCCCTGGGTACATTTGAGTAAGTTATATCATTTTAGGAACCATTTTAAGTCACCTTCTATGAAGGGTTTATAAGTTACTAATCACTTGAATTATGGGTAATTAACATATAGTGCTTTTTAGATCAGTTAAGCCATCATTTGGGGTTGCTGGATTGTGACAAATCGCAGGTGTCCGTCCTTTATTTGGCGGTGAAGCAGTTATAAATGTTAGTTCATTCATAAATGCTGAATAGATGTTTTTTATTTTTGATCTGCAGCCCTGAAGTGGTAAGCGGTCAGCTTTGAGGTTCAGCTTTATTGTCATTAATACAGGATCGTACGATGCAGTTGCAAAAGATCAAAGGGAGTTTTCCCAACCTGTTGACCCAAATGTCGTCCTTAATGGCTTAAACCTGATCTAAAAAACATCAGCAAATAATTTATTGTCATGAATAAAGCCACTCTACAACTGATACGGCCTTTATTGAAGATGCACTTATTAGAAAGAAGGCTTATTTTAATTCAGTTTGCATTTAGTCGGTTCAGTTTGAGTGTTTTTCAGTTGCTTTCAGCACAGCATCATCAAAAACAATCAGAAAGGAAGTGGAGGATTGATTTAGTTTGATTTGTATTATAAAATGTAATTGATATGAAATACCAATGAATGGCTCCTTGAATGAGCCCTGATACCCACACATAACAGCACTACAGCAGCGTTGGAAATTCCCATTTCCACAGAGACATAATGGAGGAGTGTGTGTGGGTGTGTGTGCGTGTAAGGGAGTCAGTGTTTCGGCATTTCTCGGGATGCGTTACATAGCTCTGGCTGTGTGGGGGAATGTGACGAGTCGGTAACTTGCTTGCTGTTCCGACTGTTTTCTCACGGGAAAAACCGGCCGAGAACCAAACAGACGTTTAGAGCACACGTGTGACTTCTTCTTACGTCAGAGCCTTTCTTTTTCCGACGAGGTCGACTAGTGAAATAACACAGGAGTCACACACGGCTGTATTATACGATTAGAACAGAGCCCGGTTAATCCCATGAGGATTATGTCAGGTAACATGGCAAATGAAAGAAACATATTCCTACAATTAAATGTCTTCACAGTGTTTAGGAGTCTGGCACTGACTGCAGGGGTTTTGGTCAGTGTTTGTGGGAGTCGTGCTGCTGTTCCAAACCTGCATGCTGCTCTAATTTTCACTGCGATAATGTGACCCATCTGTTTATGTTTATTACTGTTTCTCTCACGGCATCCTAACCCGCAGGCCGGGTGCTGAATCGAATAGAAATGATCTAAAAAAGCTTTGCGAATATGTCGACTTGGTTCAAATAAAAGCGGATCATTAGTCATAATAACAAAGAAAAGGTTCCACGTTTCGTTTACAGGTTTGTTTTTACTTGGATGCGTTTTTCTTTGTGCGTTTGGTCACACGGGCCAAGTCTACTTTATTAGTTAATGTATCTTGCTGTTGTTTACGCTTCCAACTTTACTTTTTTCACTCAGCTGTCTGTTGCGATACACTGGATGCTCTGAATCAATAGGTCCAGTTTTCATTTGTGTAAAGGTTTGACGGTATTTCTCAGCTCGAGGGCTGCCTCTACACACACACTCTACACACACATCTTCCAGGGGGGATGTGTGGGAGTGGTTTGGAGCGAGCGCTCGCGTGTCACTCAAGTGGAGTCTGCAGCTGGCACGCGCCCCCGGTGACGTGAAGCGAAGCGCACAGAGCAAACGGTTTTTAAACAGCCTGTTGTCCTGCAGCGCGCGCTCTCTACTTCTTTTACTTCTCAAAATGTGTTTCTAACCACAAACGCAACCTTCGCCTCGACTGAACTCGCCATGTAGCGTGCGCGCGCGCGCGCTACACAGAGCTGGATCTTCTTTCTTTCTTTTTTACGGGATCCTGCGGTTCGGGAGCAGCGGAGCGACGGGTCCGGGTGTGCGGGATTTGGTGACCGTCGAGGGGCGGACGGGCCACCATGCTCCGGCCCTGGGCTGCGCACTGGTTCACAGCTGTGCTCCTGTGTCGGGCGGTGGCACAGTACTCCAGCGACCAGTGCAGCTGGCGAGGAAGGTGAGGATGAAGCCGGACAAAGGACGCATCCATCTCAGTGTAGGATCAGACTCGACTGTAGCGATGCTGTTATCACAGGAACACACCTCACAGCTCAGGAGTGTGATCAGCATGTTAATACTTTCTCTTTTGATCTTCCACTTTCATGCACTTTTGACTTTAACCCGCGGATATTGAATTTTCCAAATGCAGGGGAGTCATGAAAGGAGCTTCAGTCGCATGTGAGAGAGGAGGTTGTGTCTTTGAAGTGGCTCTTGTGTGCATACTGGGGTTTTCAGAGGGCTCAAAGGACTAATTAGACGCATGGATGTTTGATTAAGATGTAATGTAATCTTCAGGAAGAGCACTGGAAGGTCAGAGTCAAATAAGTGACTTTCATATTCTGGTGCAGATCCGCAGTGGAAACAGTTAAGGATGTGTTTGGCCGCTGCGTGCCATTACTTACTGCTCAGACACTTTATGGCGTAAGAAACCAGTCATTTACAGCATCTTTATTCAAATCTTTTACACACAATTACTCTTCGCAAAGAGGAAAATAAAATCACGAGGACGACAGAAATCAATTATGGACTGGAGACTCTTTCATTCCGCTTTGTGAGACTGTCTTGACGAGCTTCTACATCTAAAATATGCTTTGTTTAAGCTTTTGTAAAAGTATGATGACAGGAATGTCTCTGCTTCGGCTCCTATCTTAAGTAAATACAGCTCTATGGCCCCTTTGATCACTCCTCCAAGTCCCCAAGTCATAAAATATGAAAGCCCGAGCTCCACACTCTGTGTTGTAAAGTTTACCAGCTGCAAACTTCTTACGACTTAATAGCCCGCTGAGTTCCTGGTGTTGATATAGTTTATGCACATCAGAGACAAGCGACCACATCCGTCCAAAGTGAGAGGTGTTTTGTTTTTGGCAGACAGCTGCACCAGAGTTGCTCTTAATGATTGTTGCAATATCATTAAATCCCTTCCATCTGTTTCTCTCACCATGGCTTTCTAGCATTTCACCTGAACATTTTCGGGGCTCTAATCCTGAATCCAAGGTTCCTTTTTGTTGGTCATTTTGATGGTTTTAGACATTTGATCTTGTTCCTCACTCTGAATGAAAGTCTGTCTTCTCACCTGCAGTGGTTTGAGCCACGAGTCTCATCGCAGGGATGTGGAGCAGGTCTACCTACGCTGCTCTCAGGGCTCTCTGGAGTGGCTCTACCCCACAGGGGCCATCTTTGTCAACCTGCGGCCGAACACAGAGCCCTCGTCGGGACACGTGGCAGCTCTTCATGTGTGCATCAAACCCCACGCTCACTCCCAGGTAGAGTATGAAGGCACAATGTTACCACGGCAGCGTGTCGTATCAGATGGATGGAGCTCACATGTGTCCCTCCTGGCCCTCCATGTTCAGGGTGCTCATGTGTATCTGGAGCATAACGGGGATCTGAGGATGCTGCTGGCAGAGAAGGACCAGGCTCAGGGCACAGTGCGCTGTTTCAGCCTGGCAGAGGGAGCTCTCTTTGTGGAGGCCGTCCCTCAGGCAGACATCAGCCGGAGGATCACAGCTTTCCAATACGAGCTGGTGTCCAGCCAGGGGCCCGGAGCGCACTTGTACCCATACCTGCACCCTGGTTTAGGTAAGAGATGTGATTCACCCATTCTTCAATATATATGTTTTCTTACATGTATAAAAAGATTTAAGTACATTTACTCAAGTTTGGTACTTATTTGCAACTTTAAGGTACTTGTATTCCTATTTTACAGTACTTTATACCACTTCAATGAAAGTGTGTAGTTTTTACTTCACAGCGATACTGTTCAGATAAAGAAGTTTAATAGAAAAATTATGATCAGCTAATTACATTTGTTGTGGTTTTAGATTAAACTACCAACACTATATGAATTAGTTAAAAGTTATTCCACTTTGACCATCTACAGCGTGAAAGTACAGCTTACATTAATAGACTCATAATAATGATCCAAAGGTATATTGATGTAACATTAATAGTGACCATTCTGCATCGTGAGTACTTTTACTGTAAGTACATTTTGTTAATACTTATATACTGTTTCTATATGTGACATTTTGAATGCAGAGCTTTTACTTGTAATTGAGTATTTCTATATTGTGCTTCTTTTACTGAAGCAAATACATTTAATACTTCATCCACCACTTGTTGAATGTTTGAACTTAAACACACCAACAAGAACGTTTCCCAAACTGTTCATGCTATTTATTTATCACCAGAAGAACTAAAATCACTGGAGAAAAGGGTGACAGATCAAAGCTTGATTTATGCTCGCTGCATCCGCGAGGGTCACAGACGCGGCCCGTCGCTGGGTTCTGTGTACTGCTGGTCTGTGCACATCCAAAATGTTCTGACTGAGACGCGGATGGTCGGAGAAAATGGAAAACTCTGAGGAGCTTTAAGAATGTCTGTATGCCGCGAGGAATACCTCAGCTCATGTCCGTGCAGAAAGTTTGACCGAGGCTTTAATGTTCTCTTGAAGTTGATTTTAATCTAATTGAATCAGTTGAAATGGTCTGTTAAACTCCTCATGTCTGACACAGGCCGTCTTCTCACTGACACAAAGTGAAGGTGACAAAAGACCACGTTACGGTTTCACCCCCGTTTCTTCCACTCACCTACATGCTGCCCCTCGCAGACACCCTCTCCTCCCCCACTTCCTTACTCCCACACTCCCTTGTCTCAGTCAGACTTATGAAAACAAGCAGGCCAATCAAAAGGTTACGTTAGGGTCAAGCAAAAGGGTCAGAAAATCGTCTCTCAACTGTCAATCAGGAACAGACCTCCGCCCCCAAGGCAGGGAATTGTGGGTAGCCCACCCGTATGAGCAGAGTGCTCTGGTAGAGGGGAGGGAAGGTGGGTGGAGAAGAAGGCTGGACTGCTTTCCTAATGAGACAGAAGAAAGCCTGTCCAAGCCCGTCTGTCTGTGTGTCTGGGCGTTTTATAGCTGTTTTTATAGCTTACAGGGTCAAAGGGTAATTCTGTGATTACGTCTTTTCCCTCACCTGCTGTTCTCATTCACTCTCTGGATGTCTCTTTTGTCTCGTAAACACCCGCCATCACAGAGACAAAGAGAGGGACACAGACAAAGGGTGAAACATGGTGATACAAAAGCTAATGACGAAAGAAAATGGATCGCGAAAATACGAACTTCTGTGGTTTCTTAAGTTGAAGTATCAAATGTTTCATGTTTTCTTCTTCTTTCATGTTTTCCATTGTAGTCACCTGTAAACCCTGTTCAGATGACGAGGTCCTGATGGCCGTGTGTACCAGCGACTTTGGTAAATACATCCACACAAACGCACACATACACACATTATAGGAATAGTTTGACATTTTGGGAAATACGCTGACTTCCTTTCTTGCCAAAGAGTTAGACGAGAAGATCGATGCCACTCTCGTGTACCAAGGTACGGTAAATCTGAAGCTGCTTAGCTTAGCTTAGCATAGGGGCTGGGAACAGGAAGAAACAGTAAAACTGGTCTCAATGCACTGAAGCTCACAAACTAACACGTTATATCTAGTTTGTCAAATCTGCTCAGAAACCAAAGTGTATTAGCGAAAAATGTGCTGTTTTGCGGGTGGTTATGTGCCGGGACCAGTTGCCATACGACCAGCAGAGACTTTAGGAAGTTACTATTTTCAGTCTTAACGCTAAGCTAACTGGCTCCAGCTACATATTTACCGTACAGACAAGAGAGTGCATCCTCTCATGGATTTTTCGACAAGAAAGCGAATAATTTTATCTCCCAAACAGTCGAACCCAAAGTCAAACTATTTAATCTTTACTCAACTGTGGCCGTTAAGGCAACTAGCAACAACAGGTTCAATTTGTATGTCTGTTTTCAACATAGTCCCTCTTTAATTCATACACTTTAGTTTTTACTATCCTTGATTAATTAATAATTCTCCTTTCATGTATCTCTATTGTTCCTGTCCCTGTAGCTGGCAGTGGCGTCTTTCAAAGTGTAGCATCGGGTACTAACGACCACTCTCCCGCTGCGGTGACTCTGAGTCGACTGTTTCGCCAGAAGAGCAGGGTGTTTGCGTGGGGTGGAGCCAGAGGGCGGGGCTGGGGTGGCCGTATCAATGTACCCGCACAATGCAGTGTGCAGCCTGGAGGGGACGAGTACCTTTTGACTGGCGCTGTCCATTTCGGCAACGCCTGGCTTGGCTGCGCACCTCGCTACAAGGACTTCCAGAAGCTGTACACCAGAGCACAGACAGCGGGAACAAACCCCTGTGAGATAGACACGGACTGAGCGAGATCTCCTCGAAGTCGTTGAGGAAGACGCAAAGAGGAACAAGCTGAGGTTTGGAGGATGGAGTGACGTCATCTTTGAGCCTGGCAGAGAGCTAAGCAAGGTTAAAAACAAAAAAGACCATCGTTACTTCTGCAGGATGTTTTCAATGCTGTGCAACTTGCAGCAGAACAGACAGCTGGGCAGTTTGAACATTTTAGCCAATGAGCTGCCGACTAAAACGTCCTCATTTGACTCTATGCCATGTGCATGAATATGTTTCTGCTTGAGCGAGTGCAGCGAATGAACGATGTTGAGCTTAAATTAATTTTTTGCCTAAAATGATGATGTTTTTATTCTCACGACGATACTGCTTGTGTGATCATTCTCGAAATGAATGTTTGCTTTGTAAAAAGCTTTCTGTAAAGTTTAGGAGTCTTCTGACAGAAGAACCGTATGCAGCTCTGTGAGTCTTTATGTACCAAGTGTGTGTGTGTGGGGGGGGGGGGGGGGGGGGGGTTTAACTGATGAGTTCAGAGGGTCTTTATATCTACAGAAAACAAAAAAAAGCCATCCTTCAGCTTGTCTTTCCGTTGAAAGGTTTACATTTGATGAATCCATTTCGCTGTCTGTGAGTGAGCCTGTATACAGGGATCCTGCATTATTATTATTGTATCTCATACTGTATGAAACTCTGAGGAGTGTGGTTGAGGTGCAGATGATTAAAAACAGATGGCAAGTAAATAGGACCAAAAAAAAAACGAAGGAGCAAAAGTTAGCAGCCTCCCTGCTGCCAACAGAGACATATTATCCACCGAACTACCCAAAAGGTGTGTGTGTGTGTGTGTGAGGAAAAAAAAAGCTGATTTGGGTTGATACGGTTGTGGTCGTAGTTAGGGTAGCGTAAGTTTCCAGGAAATGAATGTAAGTCAATGTGATGTCACCAAAAGTGACCTAAGTACATATGTTTGTGTGTGTTCATGGCTTCCTCAGCTCAGAGAGAGAAAATAAATGTCCCAACAAAGCCAGCAGGTCCAATTCAATAACTGATGACTCATGTGCCCAGATTTTTAAATGAAACTCAATTCAACATCCTGTTTTTGTCACAGAGGCATTTAAAGCTGTCAACATGACAGCTGCTGTCTGATGGATCTTTGAGACTTTGAGAGCTTGATGGGTGGAAAGCTGAACGCAGAGGCGGATGTGTGAATGACCTTAGAGGGGTGTGTGCACACCTCTCCCTCTGCCTGCTGTCAGCAGTTGTGTGTGCGCGATGCTTTCCCTCTTTACTCAGGAAGAGCAAGAATGGATGGAATGTTCCCTCCCACACACACACACACACACACACCTCCATCTGCAGAGACAAACCATGTGTGCTGTTCTAAACAGGAACAACAACCGTTTATACCTGACAAGAATCATCTTCAGCATGCAGATGTTACTTAAGCACAGGGGTTAAAGCCAGACAGATTGGATGCAGAGTGGTCAGAGGCTGAGATATCCTGACTTTAAAGGCGTGTTCAGACAGAGAGCTTCCCATAATGCAACTCATTTGTGTATCAGGCCCTCCCTGCCTGGTAAACACCCGACATCTTTCAAACTCCCTGCTGCCATAGATGTGGAAGTGAATTTGGTGAAGTGAAAATGATTCTCTAATGTGAACAGAATGACTAAATGAATGACTAAGTGAGAAAGAGAAGGCAGGAGAGTACGAGGGAGACATCAACACAGAGCGTGAAGGTTTAAGATGGAGCCTAAAGACTCGAGAGGGTCACCTATATATAACAGCCCCCCCCCCCCCTCATACCATGGGGCTGTGTGTGTTTGTGTTTGTCTTGGGTAGTTTAAGAAGACCACAGCACGCGTCCTGCACACTGCCGACATGCAAGCAACCCAATCCATCCAACACTGCTGGCAACCCAACCTGGCAACAGCCCAGCTCGCCTTGGCATCCTCGCTAATTCGGGACACGCTTATCCCTCCGCACACAGGGGTCTTAATGTTAACCTTTCGGTGTGAGAGTGTGTGAGATATGGAAACCGTTTGTGCTGCAGTATGCGAGAGGCACAGCTGAGCGGTCAGCTGGAGTCCAGGGAATGGCTGAGCGCAGGGAAAACACACGCATGCTTTCGCCCACATATACACCACCGCTGGCATTTTACAATGCGCCGGTCAGGGTGGGGTCGGCAGTTATAGACGGGGGCACAATATTTTAGGTTCTAAGTATGTTTCTACAGGAAGTCTAAAGTACTTTTTAAAAGAATGCAGCTCTTACATTCCTTTTAGAGTATACTACTAGAATAACAACTGTGTCATTGTAATGATTATTGACATTTTCAGTGTTTTCGTTTATTAATATTTCTTAAAAAGTCATAAAAAACCATTGGCTTCATGTTATGAAAGATTAAAGAGAGTGTGGGTGAAAAAGATATAGAACGTTTCCTTTTTCTCCTGTTGGGTGTTAAAGAGGCCCTCCTCTTATTCTATACATAAGATCAGGACTCCTACTCAACAGTATGTGGCTCTGGAGATGTGTTGCCTTCTAATCAAATCTAAAATACTTTTGTTAATTGTATTGCTATATAATTCTGTTAATCATTTTATAATTTGTTTCTGGCAGGTGAAGGTAATTATTCTCTTATCATACTTGATCTGTGTTGCGTACAGTTGGTGTGGTATAAAGTTGGATATGTTAGTTGACTTCAGATATTACAGGTGTGCAACATTGAAGGACGTTATGGTCACACAGGGACAACAACAAGTTAATATTGAGAATGTTTTTCATGTTCTACACGTTGAGTATCTTCTGAAAGTATGTTACTTAGCTCGCACAGTAAAATGAAGTTATCCCATTTCTATTTGAACGTGTGTTATTTGATCAGTAAATTTGGAGACAAATTTATTTCTAAAACAAGATGGTCAGCACTTTATTATAATGCAGACATGATTATGTGTGTTGCATCTCATTTATTTCAAAACGGGCATGCGGGTAATGTGCAAAACACAAAATATTGAATTATTTAAACGCAGCACAGATTTCATGTTATGATTAGTTGGATGAGGATGAAAGGTAATTTACTGTAAAGCTGCATTATTGCAGCATGCGCCTGGTCAGAGAGGTATAAGCTTGGAGAGAACGGCCCTTTGTGGTGTCAAAGTGAACAGTTGGTTGAACTTCTCTGGCAAATGTACCTTTATAAATTACCATCATACATGCATAAATTCATATCCATCTGATTAGAGTGAAGGTGATTATATTTTCTTTGTTTCACTGACATCAGATGAATCACACACTCTTCCTCTTATGCACATAACAGTCATATAAAGAAGTCAGTCATTACAAGGTTTTCAGTTAACTTTGAGATTAACTTTTAACAAATGTAACTTTGTGATAGTTTAAGGTTGATGATTAACATTGGTGATCAAAATGTGGAAGTAAGAGGGTTCAACATTTGCATAGAACGCCGACACATATTGTGGGTGTAACATTGATCATATAAGACACACTTTGGAGTTTCTGTTTCTTAGAAACTGCAGTGGAATAAAATGAGGATGTGGAACCTTAAGAAGCTGCTCTTCAGCCTGTGCAGTAAGTTCTTTGGATTAAATATGTTTTTATGTAACTTCAACATGGCAGACTACGCCTTGATATGTTGGTCTTAGTGATTTTATCAAACAGCTGTAACACAGACATTATTTATGTCTATCATAAGATAAAAAAATATTTCATACACATTAGTTAAATATGTATACAAATATTTACCCATTTCCATTTTTTTTTCCGTTTCATGTCTTCACTCAGAAGTTGCTCTGAGCTGTGTGAGCAGTGCAGCGGGGTCGATCCATGTGTCTGGATATGAAGGGGGACACGTTAAAGTGCCTTGTCCCTATAGCGAGGGTTACGAGCCTTATGAGAAGTACCTGTGCAAGAACGACTGCGGCAACGATGACGTTCTTATTAAGACGACAGAACCAAATAAGACCAAATACTCCATCTACGATGACGATCAGAAACGAGTCTTCACAGCGACGATCTCTGATCTGAGTCGTACAGACGCTGGGAAATACTGGTGTGGGGTGACCAGGACTGGAAAGGACATCTACACTGAAGTAGATCTGGAAGTAGGACAAGGTGTGTAAAAAAACAAACAAACAAAAACCCAGTCAGTATGTCATTTCTCATCCAGACATTGTTGTTTAGTTTTACTGTGCATACATACAGTTTTTGAGGTACTTATACTTTAATTTAGTGTACCTAAGTAGTGTACTTGTACCTTTTCTCCACTGCATGTATCTGACATAAATAGCCTATAACCTAAATTGATTCATTGATTCAGTGTTTTAGATTAAACTGCCTACCAGTAAGTAAAGAAGTAAGAAATAGCTCCACATTGACCTACTATGCTGCTTACACGTAAACGCATCAGTAACTCAGTAGTTACACAACGCTGAAAGAAGTCGTCCTGTCTTCATAATACGCAACTTTTACTTTGCTTTCACTACATTTACCTACTTCAGTGTTTTACTTAAGTAACATTTTAAAAGCCAATATTTTAACATTGTGATATTGCTTCTTAGAGTCAGGTACTGAAACTGACTACTAAGCACTTCTGTGATGTTGTTTATTGGACTGTCAGACAGCTGTTGTGAGCGATCCACCAAATTCCGAAGTGATGAGGAGAGTTCAGTGTCCATCGGTTGTCCGTATGAGTCCCAGTACCAGAACAATCTAAAGTACATCTGCAGAGGAAACCAGCCCTCCACATGTCTGGAGAAGGCGATAATCACCTCTGGCAACCATCAAACTGGACAGTTCAGACTTAGTGATGACAAGGTGTCGAGGGAATTCACAGTTACCATCACTGGTCTGACCCAAAACAATATTGGGTCGTACCTTTGTGGTGTCCATGGAAGCACTGGCCTGGATGTTTTCTCTGCTTTTGAGCTAGAAGTCAAAGGTCAGAGCTCTTCCTCGTCATATTGTAGTAAACCATTAGTTTTCACAGTAATCAGCCAGAAAACAGTGTTCTGTCAAATAGATATAAAGAAAACATGACGAAAGGTTAAAAATAAACCTCCTTGAACCTCCTTCTGTTTCACAGAGTGGTGCTGTGTGAGGTCAAACAAACTGAGCGGCATTGTGGGACGCCCAGTGACTATGCAGTGTCCCTACCCACCAAAACACAGCGACAACAGGAAGTTCCTCTGTAAGGGAGACTACCGCAACAACTGCACAGAAATAGTGACGAGTCAAAGCAGGTTCACGCTGCAGGATGATGTTTCTTCCAGCTCTTTCTTGGTGATAGTCACAGAGTTGAAAGCAGAGGATGCTGGGACATACTGGTGTGGTTCAGACTCACAGTGGAGTGTTGGAAACTACACCAAGATTCAACTGTCAGCAGGTAAGATTATGAAAAGAGCAATAATTAGGTCTGAGTGTATGTGTAAAAATGAATGTGTCCTGCAGGTTCAGGTGGCTCATATCTGCATCACGTCACAATGACATAATAGATCTAATCCCAGCATGCTAGTATTCACTAATTAGCACTAAACATAAAGTATGCTGAGGAAATACCATTAGTTTTGCAGGTTTTTATTCATAAAGCAAAGGCCTGGACGAATGGAGAATTGTACCTTTATGGTGCCGAAAAATCCGGGTTGTAACATTTTATCCTTTGGGGACATCAATGTCTGTAAAAAAAAGAAATTGCATCGTGATCCATCCGTCAGTTGTGGAAACCTCAACCTCAAATCTGCCAATCCATGCAGTAGATTTTCATCTTCTGGAGACGATGAATGTTTGTACCGAAATTCATTTCAATCCTTTAAACGGTTGTAAAGATCTTTCACTCTGGATCAAGTTGTTGTCAACTGACCGACACACATTGCTATCCCCAGAGCCCCGCCGCTAGCAGCGCTAAAGATACAGAAGTAAGTGAACTAAGAAACTCTCTCTAACAGTCTTTCCACAGCAAACCAGCACTGAGATCTCTACCATCACTGTGGTGGAACAGGTCGGATCACAATCGACACTTATCCCTGGAAAGCAGATCAAAGGTATTTGTGTGCGTCAGTTATTTTGAAACACACACTGGCTATTAATACCAAGGGAGCATGACAATACCAAATGTTGTGAGGCCACAGTCTGGTGACAGCCCTTCTGATTTTTGCTTGATATTGTGACAGATATGAGGGGAGTGTGCGGTTGATGTGTGTTTTCAGGAAGTGTATGACTATATTTTATTATGTTTTTCCACTTTGTTTCTTCCGAATGCAGCTATTTCTCACTTTGTGGTTTTCATCGTGCCGGCTGTGCTGCTCACACTGGCGTTGGCGTTGGCCATAGTCTATAAATACAAATGTAACAAAGTGCAAGGTACGTTTCACATACTAATGCATGCACAGCACCATGCATGCACACGCAAACTCAAACGCATATAGATGCAAACTAATTGTGTAACCATATTTTATGCTGTTTTTTTTTTTTTCAGGAGCTGGAGCCAACGTGAACAGAGGCAAGGCAGCCGAAACAGAGGAAGGGATTGCTGTATCAGATGTAAGAGAACTAAAATCCAAAGCTTTGCTAATGCACACAAGAGGCTGGGTGGTAAAATAGACGATCTTGTGTACCATTTGGACACTATTGGCTCAGTACAGGTGGTTGAGAAAAGTTCAGGATCTAAAACTGAAAGGCTTCTTTCTGGCTTGATGACAAACATCAATCTGACCTGTAAACGGAAGGATGTCTTGATCTGGTCCCAAAGTACTGAGCAAATTAAATGAACCAACTTACTGATTATTCGGCCATTTTCATGTGAATAATTCTATACATTCTCATCTGAGCAACATTTCCCTCTTATCTGTTTATTTTTGTTGATTCTTTTTTAGATTTATGAAAACCAAGACGTAGTTTGCTCAAAGCAAGACTCCTCCAAACCCAAGAGCGCCTGTCAACACGATGATGACGCAAGTGAAACCCAACAAGAGTGTGTGTACCAAAACTACACATCAACAGAGGATATCTACACCAATCAAATTCAAATTGAAGCCAATAGAAGATGAACAGCATGCACATCTGGGATCAAACCTTGCATTTTGGGTTCAAATCTGTACCCAAACGATCCAGTTTGTATTGTGTCTATTAACAGCTGACCAACACATTTCACGTACCGCTGTGGTCTGAAACTACAGTACTATGATTATTTTACAGATGTGTTTTATAATTACCATCAGTTATATTAAGTACTTGTAACATTTGTTTGATTATTTGCTTTAACTTTCATTTTACACTCATAATGATTGCTTAATTTTAATACAACAAACTGTTTAACTTACCTGCACTCCTTTTAATATATTGTGGATGAGCATTTCAGCTTAATACCCCAAATGTAAGTCCTCTTTATGTATATTATATATATAGTATATAGTATTGTTGAGGTATCCACCATGAATGTCCAAGACACACTACACCCTAAGAACTCCCTATTTGCTATTAAAATAATTGATACACCATTTGATTAATCGATTTATTGAAATTATGGATTAAACAAATACGTGCAAAAAGGGGAAACTGTAGTTTTGCTGCATACTGCAGATTAACTTTCTAACACCTCTCATTAAGCATGAAGGCAGCGTCTTGTGGTTTGAGCAAGTCTTCGAGGTGCATTATAATTTAACACCTAACTAGCAAGGAACATGGACCCTATGGCCTCTAGAAAAAGAGGAAATCCTATCTCAAGGTGTTATTTGTATTTTATGCGAGTTGTCTATTTCTCTTTTTATTTCTATGAGTTACGATCTATTGCTTATGATCAGCCTAAGAGCCTTATACTTTCAGATATCAATATACTCGTTGCATGTAATCCCATATTGCTTAGAGACGTTTCAATTATTAAATTGCTTTAATGTGTGGCTTTCTATCTAGCAGAAAATCATTAGAAAATCTAAATTTTTTACATCATTAAAAAGTAGGTATGTCAGAAGGGATAATAAGACTATGAGACCTGTTTAGTCCAATGATTAAAGAATGATCTGAGGTTGCAGAAAGCACCAAGGAGAAGGGTACAAAAAAGGGGGAGACAACAAGGATCGGGGTCTTCTGGAAGCTCTTCTTCAGGCTTTTAGGCTTTTTTGAGAACTTGGTACATTTGAGATCTTGTATGATCTATTATTTCATTTTTATTCTTCATTTTTGTAACTTTTTCTAAATTTTTTGTAAAAAACAAATAAAACTGGAGTGTATTTTGTGCATTCCAACCAAAGTCCAGTGTTGCTCGTCTCTGGTGGGGCCCTCGTAGTCTCCTCACGTAAGGGTGCTCTTCCCCTGATAGGCTGACAGTAGTACATTTATTAGACATGTGATCTGAATGACATTCCTGTTACAAGCTATATTAAGATGGTGTTGGTCATCATTGTTGTGATTTACTAACTTGGTTGGCTCAGATTGATTTTGAAGCTCTGCTAATGTATCACATGTTATGTTGCAGTGTTGGTTAACAATGTTTAGACATTAGCTGAGGTGTATTAGGAACCGATCGGCTCATCTGATGATTAGTCACCTGAGCCAGAAGTACTGCTGGAGCTGCTCCTGCCAACATGAGTAACCAGGCAACACCAAACAAACATGCAGCTCGGTCTCCTCCAGGACTGTGAAAACTGTGCATGCTGAAGCTATTTCTTATTTAGGCCAAAATCTGCTTAAATCAGCTATTCAGTTTTAAGTTTTTTTTAGTTTTTATTCTTGTACCTGTAGCCTTGTTTAACTGTCTTAAAATGAGCTCTGAGGTTTTAGTGGCAAGGCCCCACTATGACAGCAGAGCTGTGGCTCAGGGGGTCCCGGTGAAAGAGCCTCGTGTCGAGCTGGATGCCCCTCTGCCGTCCTCAGGCTCAGCCACAGCGGGATACCGCTCAGCTAAATACTCGCCGGCTGAGTGGTTCTCCAACTACCACACCATCCTTGAACAGGCCGGTACCAACCGCCACGAAGCCGGCAGCATCCAGCGGGAGTCCAGAGCTCTGTACCAGGACACTGAGGCGGCCACTGTGACGACCCAGGCTGAGGGAACACGTCTCCTGGGAGAGAGACTACAAGAGATCCACTACTGGAAATCGGAGCTGCAACAGCACATTCACCGGCTGCTGGCCGACACGGAGTCACTATCGGCGCTGAAGACGAGGCTGGAGAAAGCGCTGGACGCCACCGAGACTCCATACGCCATCGCCACCGATAACCTCAACTGCAGGGCCAGGAGGCTGGGACCAGACCTGGTCCGAGACACTGTGGAGGAGGAGCTGGTGAAGGTGACCAGCTTTATAATCAAAGCTGTATGTGACAGTGAGACGAGACATCGCGGGGAATGAACAAATTAATAGTTCATATTGAGATACTACTTTTTCGATCAGAATACCAGAGCTGCATAATAAGTCAGTTAATGGATTAGATGGTCAAGTGTAATAATTTGAACCATAATCTGTTTCAATTCTATTTTCATGCAAAAAATATGCCAACTATTTGATCTCTCATCTTTCTCTCAGCTCAACTTTTAGACTGTTGGTCGTACAAAACAAGTCATTTGATGATATCACCCTGAGTTTTTTCTGCCAATAATCATTAGATGTGGCTCTATAAAAACAATAACTCGGTAACAATAACTTACAGTAACAGTCTCAGGAACAGGTGTCAAATGGTGAATTCAGTGTAACGGTAGAACAGCAGCAGCAGAGGGCTCACTAACACACACTAACCTAAAGTGTGACTCTGCGTTTTGTAGGAGGTGGACTTGATCAGGAGTGTCCAGGCTCTTCTGAAGAGGACTACGGCTCAAGTTGTCAGTCGGATCAAGTGAGTGTCAACATCCTGAAAGTTAAAACAACCTGACATGTAAACCCACGTATAAAATCTTAACTTTGGTGAACTGAATATCATCCTTCGGTTTGTGTCTTTGTGTGTCAGGATGAACAGAGAGGCTAAGCAGACGTTAGAGTTGGACTGGTCTGATAAGTACCAGGCCTACAACTTTGATGACCACGGTGGAAGATACAGTAACATGAGCCCAGACACGCAGCACCACCCCAGCTCAGCCACCATACAGGACCAGTGAGTCCTTGTGTGCGAGTGTCATTTTTAAAAACCTAGAAACGCACGAGGTTACAAACAATGGACTTAACTTTTGTGCAATTGTCTTCTGGTCTGCTGCAGGGTGTGTAACGGCACATCGTGGACTAAGTTTACACAGGACAACTTATCCACGGCCTTGCAGGAAGAACAGGCCACCAACAGTCTCAGGTCAAAGCGCACTGTGGTTCAGACATGTGTTTAAGCTCTGTGTGTTGGAGGCTATACTGGAAAAGTAGCCTCCAACACCATGTCACACATTATTGCAAGTTGTCGGTAAGCGTAGTGATGCTGTTTGTATGTGTCAGACTGCTGGTGGAGCAAGTGCTGCAGGACACCACTCATGATCTGAGAGTCCAGTGCTCCAGTGTGGACCGAGCCTTCAGTCAGCGCTGTGCGGAGCTGATAGAGGCCAAGACACAGCTGGAGATGAAGCTCGTACAGGTAGACAGGCAGACCGACACACAGACTGACAGAGTGGCTGATTGATCGACTACTTGCTTCTCTAATATTGTATGATCGTGTGTGTGTGTGTGTGTAGATCTTGGAGCAGATTGGGGCCCAGGAGAGGAGCATTGTGGCTGTACAGCAGGCGATCCACAACAAAGAGGCTCCACTGAGAGTAGCTCAGTCCAGACTTTACCTCCGCTCCCTCAGACCCAACATGGAGCTCTGCAGAGATGAGCCCCAGTTCAGGTACACACACGTAGACTCCCTGTACTCTGTCTCATCATGCTATATTGCTCCATCTCCTCTCTCTCTCTCTCTCTCTCTCTCTCTCTCTCTCTCTCTCTCTCTC